TATCTATTGCAACTGGAAAACAATCGATAGTGGGAAATCAGTGAGAAGAAAAATAGCTAGAGACCTAAAAATATAATAGATCATTAGTAAAAGTGAAAATGTATAAAAGCAGTAGCAAACATGTAAATAAAATTCATCTTTTATAACCATTGCCTAAAAGTCTAATTAGAAAGATCAATTGCCCTTTTCAAATAATAGTTGGATATTGTGTTGACATATGCTGATTGTGGATGATTTAAATTCAATGGTCAATACCCTTGGGATCAACGTCCAAATGAACGCATTTTAACAACTATACTAAGAGAACTTAAGGATCGATTTGATGTAAGTAATAAAAAGTTAAAGGTTGTATTACGAAAGCTTTCGACTAATTCAGCTAAAGAGTAAAAAATGATTCATTTGGGAGCTAAGGCCATGAAAATATCCTAGAAGAAGAATCATTTATTGCAAGACATGATCACTTTTCTAAAAGATGTGAATATTATACGCTTGAGCTTGTTGAAAAACTTGGTCATCCAAGATGTCCAATCAAGTGCCCTTGCCATAATTCTCAATATAAAGAGTTGTTTTACAATCAGAAATGTTAAAATTAGGAATGAAGCTTTATCATAAACAACTTTGTGAAAAGAGTATTGATATTATAATTCGCTTAGCATAGAGTTCGTCCAGGTTGGAGCTATATTTTTATTTTAATATTGAAACTTTTTGCTTTAGCTAAGAAATTAGATATTGAAGAAATTAGACATCTTTCACGTCAACACGCAAGCTCATATTACGAAGAACATCTTCCCTGGGATAGTGAATATGAAATAATCTATATTGAAGTCTTAAAGCTTTAGAAATTTCTTAATATGATCTACAATATGATGTTTGGGTATTTATAACCTTGATGGCGATTCTTGGAGTAAATGTATTTAATGGAGAAGAAAATCCACGAAATGCCCACGGTATTTTTCAATTGACATCTCTTTTAAATCACAGATGTAATTCTTTGACTACACATATGAATGCAACAGAAAAATACATTAGGAAGGATTTAGTTCAACAATCTATGGTACTGCGTCAAAAACACAAACAAATTGGTTACAATTGCTTTTGCTTTAGTAATACCACATTACAAAATGTAAAGAAGGACAAGAAAAGTTTTACTAGTTACGTTGATACAACAGATAATAAACAACAATGGCAATCTAGGATTTTAGATATTTATGGATTTATATGCCAATGTGATAAATGTGAAGCTGATCCTCAGTTATTTTGGTACCCGGCAACTGTTTGTTGGAATTTGCATTATTATGATGATAATAATGAATCATTTCTCATCTCAATTTAAATGTTTAAATCTAGAATAAGGTTACTTATTCTTATAGAATTATATATATATATATATATTGTTACAGTTTATTCTATTGTATACGACCCAACTTTGTAATCAGTTAATAATTTATTTTATTAAAGGTGTTACCTCTACAGCAAGAACTACAAGAGATCCTACAATTTTATATTCGGCATATTCTGTGAGAAACCCACGCCTCTATCCCAAGTTGCCCATTATTATTCAAAGGAACGTAAGCTACGTAGGTGACGTAGCATACCTAGTAAACTTAAAATTTCATGATTTGCCAAAAAAGAATCACAATAAGTTTTATTTTCACACTTATTTTTTTTTAAATAATAATAATAGTCGTATTTAGT